AGAATCCAGTTCAGTTGTTTTTGCTCAGTTAATTTGCAAGTAAATTAATTGATTGTTTTACTTTTACCATATGAAAGATGTTAATGAAATGTTAATTACTTTTTTCTTGAACATTGCCTACTGTGCAAGTTTTGCATACRGTAAAAAAGGAAGATTAATAATTTTAACAAGTAATTTTTTCTCACTTGGAGTATATTTTCTTTATTTATGCTTAAGGTGTGGTTCAAGGTGTCAGTTATTGTTCTCACTCGTACAAGAGATTGATTCTTACTGCAATAAAAAGAGAGTTTGATAATTTCAGGCCACCTGTTGATCACAGGAAATACAGGTAACTGCAGCTAGAGCATTTTAGATCCATGACGACACAATCTCATCCTTGGTATTCATGTATATGATGATGATATTGGTGTTAATGGTATTGATGGTGTTGGTGTTGATGAGGATGATGATGCATGATGATGATGATGGTGTAGATGATGATGATGTCGACAATGAGACGATGATGTTGATGGTGGTGGTATTAATAATGATGATAATGATGGTGATGATGATGATATTGGTGTTAAAGGTATTTATGATGATGATGATGATGCATGATGATGATGGTGTTGATGATGATGATGTTGGTGACAATGAGACAATGATGTTGACAATGAGACGATGATGTTGATGGTGGTGGTATATGATGATATGATGATGATGGTCTTGTTGATGATGATGGTGTTCATGCTGCTGATGGGGATAATAATGATATTGATAATGATGGGTCAATGGTGTGATCATGGTATGATGATGATAATGTGATATGGTGTTAATGATGATGATAATGTTGATGGTGATGATGATGATGTTGACAATGAGAGGATGATGTTGATGGTGGTGGTGGTGGTGGTATTAATAATATGATGATAATCATGGTGTTGAAGGTGATAATGTGATGATGATGGTCTTGCTAATGATGATAGTGTTGATGCTGCTGATGGTGATAATAATGATAATGATGGGTCGATGGTGATCATGGTAATGAGGGTGATAATGTGATGATAATGGTGCTAATGATGATGATGGTGGTGGTGATGATGATGATACTAATTAAATGATAAATGATGCTGATGATATTCATCTTGATAATGATGGTGATAATCTGGGTTTTGTGTTAATATGAAACTGATAAAATGATGATGATGATAAGATGATAAGATGATGGTGATGGTGTTGATGATGATAATGATGGTTTATTAGGATATGGTTTATTATGATCATGATGATGATTACAATGATGGTGATGGTGATTTCAATTAACAGACTTTCAATTTCTTTAGTTAGGGCCAGTAAAACATTTACTATTAATAAATGGACCCTTCATTAATTTTCATAATGTTTTTCTTGAAATGTTTCAGTGTCAACTTTGTTCCAGTCTGCTTTCCCGAGACCTATCATGATTGGTCAATGAAACGCAGACGTTTTGTAGCTGACACATATGTCATAGAAGTTGCAGTCAGACAAGGAGATCCAGGAGAACTGTATGARGATGGCCATCATAAGGTTAAATTATGTGTGTGATAGTAATATGTTTATGCTTTGTCAAGTAAAATTATTTATTTATCCAACTTTACCACTTTGAGATGGATGGAAAGCTTTGCAGGTCTAGGACCCAATTACAAAGCCACCAATATAGGTCAAAAGAAAATGACATACAAAATTTAGCAATATTAATTTGATCAGTATCCACTCATCATCATAATAAAGTGATCAATAGAATAATTGTATGTGTAAAATATATTTYTTGGAAAAACTGTATGTAGATATTAAATGACAAACAGTTTCTGATCAAAATATTAATACATTATACCAYCACCTGCAGGTTAGCTTAGTTGGTAAGAGTGTCTGTCTGTTGTGTGCAGAAGTGCATGGTTCAAGCCTTGGCCATACCAACACACATTAAGGCTCCGGCATTGTTTCAAATTAAAAATTCTCTTTAAAATAATATTATTTTCTGAATCTTTATTATATGACCTTTAAAACAATATAAAGTTTTATGGGGTTTTATTTAAAGTGTTGCGTAGAGAGAGTCTTAAACGAGACATATCTCTGAAGGTCTCCAGTAACCTTAAAAGAGGACCACAAATTTTTCATTTGCATTACTGTCCAGTGTTATCCTCTATAAACAAAATCGATTGGTTGATTTTATTTATATATATATATATTTATTTATTTTATTAATCTTTTGTACAAAGTGTGTTTTAATTTCTTGTACAATTTTGTTTTAACTTCTGATAATTTTATTTGTAAAATTATATGCTTAAATCAATCTCCAGGTGTATGTGAGAAGAGAAGGAAGTGTAGAGGGACCATTGTCGCCAGTAAAGATTAAAGAACTGGTCTTGCAGAATATTAAAGAAGTAAGTCTTGTTGAAGTTTATTTGGATTTGATTTTTTTGATTTCATGGGCATGCTTTTGTGYGTGTGTATGCATGGAGAAATGGACTGATGGACTGAGGATGGAGAGCATGGTCAGATAGATGAACAGGCAGATGAATGGATAGAGGATTGGTGTATGGATGGACAGATAGGTGGGTGGATAGACAGATGGATGGAGGAATAGACTGAGAAGGGAGGGCCAGATGGATGAACAGGTGGATGAATGGATAGACAGATGGGTGGATGGATAGGCAAATGGGAGGATGGATGGATGAACGAACTGATGGATTAAGGATAGATGGACAGATGAGAATACAGACGAAGGGATGGATTGATGGGATTTTTTGAGTTTATCATAAATTCATTAAATTTAACTTTTTATTAATGGTTTCTATGATAAATTATTTACAGGTTCTAAATGAAAGAAAGCGAAAAAGAATTGATGAATCCCTAGATGAGACTACAAAAGAACAAAGTACTGGACCCAAAGACAAAACACCAACCAACCAACAACCCATCAAAAAAGCAAAACTTTCTCCCATTGTGTTTGATCTTAAAGATACCGACAGAGTTATTTAATTTACTGAAGCTGTGGGGAAGAGGAGGAGGGGTTTTATATGAAAATGAAACCTTTTCACTTAGGGATGAGGGCAAAACAATTGTCATCTCATGGTACCCGATTTAAGGGGGAGGGATGGTGTTACCCGGTACCCACCACCTCGGGAAGTAAAATCTTAGATTTTGTCCCCAAATATCTCCAAAACTAAAAGCCAAATCACAGAAATGGATGGACTGTCTGTCTGCATGTATGCTAGGGATGGGGGTATGTACCAGTACCCACCACCTTAATTCATAAAATCGGGTCCCTATTTTGGACGATTGTTTTGACCTCACCCCTTAGAGAAATTACACACAGAGATTACTTCCTCCTCCCCCTTGCCCCCCTACTTCCCCCAGACACACACACTTTAAAAAGGGCTCCACCATCTCTGGCATAATAAGAGAACAAACAGAAAGTGGCAGTAATAATGTTTCTATTATTATTCACATTTCTAAAACGTACAAGATTTTTTCTAATGTTGAGTTACAGAAAGCAATAGTTATTTAAAAAAAAGCAGATATTATGGATGCATGCAAATGACACAACAAGCATTGTATTGGACTGATAGCTTCACTTGTATGATTCTTATAACAAAAGAATATCACATTTGCAGGCTCAGACATGTGTCTTTATATAAAATCACTTCAATACTAATGAAGAGGACTTTATCGGGTATAAAGGTTCATGCATGTGACGTGTATGGTGCCTGCAATTGGACCATAAGCTTATGAATTATTAATGAGTGTTTTAAAAAACAGATATAAAAATTATTTAGCTATATATATAATATGATATTAATATATGTTGATGATGATATATAAATTGTTATAATGTTACCATTGCCAAATCATAGTGTTATAGTTTGATGCAAAAACAGAGAGGCTAGCAGGTTGATAAATGCAAGATCCATGCAAAACATAAAGGCCCTGTTACACGTTGAAAGTTTTAGTTGAAGCTCATGTGCAACTGCATTGCAATACAAGTTTCACAAGGGTGTTATACGGCGCAATCTCTTCCTGAAACTTCAATGTTGGTGATACAAATTTTGGTTGCATGAGTAGGAAGCAGTTCTACTTTTTGAGAAACGTTCTCCTGACAAAAGTTTCACCAAGTCTAAATTGCACCCTCTAACATCCCTATGAATCTTGTACCCAGATGCTGTTGCACACACGTTTCARCTGAAAGTTTCAACATGTATTATGGGCCTTAAGTGAACCACAACAAACAGGCAACAGAAGCCTCCTAACCAGACATTCYTAAGGTCTTCATGTTGTCTTGCAACAATTTTCTCCAGAGAAATATACATTGCATGACAATCCTAAGGTTAGTGTACAAGGCTAATGCAACCTGTCTCTAAATTGCATGACCATTAGTAGGTAGACCTCCAAAATGTGAGGCATTAAAAGTCATTTTCAAAAAAAATGTATATTTTAAATGTAAAGGTCATTCTCTAAAGATCAATATCATAAAAAGTCTGAACTAATTAAACAAATTAAAATGAAAATTTGTTACTTTCAGAAYATAGCATATTGATAAATGGTCGTTATTGTATTACATATTATTAAAGAGTATATATGGTAAAATCAGGGAATCAATGGATAATTCTTCCAACAAGGGATTTGCATTCTTTTAGTTTCATACCACTTTTTTCATTGCTAGGCACTGATCTTGACAAAAGTCATGGCATGGGAATCAGGCAATAGAGTATCCAGCAGGTTCCATGGAATTTCCCTTTGTGAAGCCATTCATTATGTTCTTTGCACTCAGTAAAATAAAGGGAATTGATAAAAGGGATTTAACAGTGGATTCCTCAGAGTGGCTCTTCTTCGACTGGATTCCAATTGAAATTTAGAAGTCGATTTTTACAGCGGGAGGAAAACTGGGAATCCCAGGGGGAAAAAAATTGAAGTACAGAAGAGAACCAAGAATGAACTTTACTCGCAAAGCATACAACACCAAGCCCGGTGGGATTCAAACATGGGATGCATTGTGGAGAGGTGGGTAGAATGAAAATGATTAGTAAAATTATGGTTTGTCCTAAAACTCAGATAAAGGGCATTTTTGGAGCCCCCTTTAACCTTCTCCCCTTTTCTTCACTTTAAGTGATGGTAGGCTTTTGAGGCTTACGGGATTCCTGTGTTTTATCGGTAAGTAAGACTGGGGATAGTCCATTTTGGCGGGATTTTTATTTTCAATAAAATTTTTAGTTTTTTGTTTCTCTAAAAAAAACTTTCCAAAATGTCAACTTCTCCTGCTTCAAAAACATGGRAAAGACCTCCAGGAAAGATAAAACTTAAAGTAAAGAAGAAAAACGGTTCTGTTGGTCTTTCAACAGTGAAGAATCTTAACGTTTTRAAGCCATTRAGTCCAAATGTTCAACAAAATGGCCGACTYGCTTCSAAGAGAAAGAACCCKTTTGGATGTTCACCTCGRAAAAAAAGAACTTTAGARACGAACTGTGATCAGAAAGAACAAGAGAACCAGCTTTTTAGGGCCTTAGATGGTCAAAGAGAAGAGCCYAAAGAGAAGGAGAATAAGTATTTTGATATTTCAGATGTTGAATTACRAAACAACGAGRATACTTTTGAACCTAAARAAGAGMAAACAACAGACAGAGAAGTAGARAAAGAYGAAGGAAAAACCTCAAAACAAGGCCAAAAAAGGTTTCCTATTGACTGGAGCTTAAAAACKAAAGTTAGGTTYACTTCTTCGACGTCTTTTAGTTGGKCAAATTCGCTRAAAAGTTTTGAAYTAGCGGAAGGAATCTCTGGTTTTGTACGTTGTGAGTCAGAAAACATCCTTGAAGAAAATGTAAAAAGTACCGAAGATTCAAGTGCAGATTTTTATCGTACTCTGCT